CAGCCGGTCCCCAGTGGGGTTTGGGGTTGCATTTTTGGCTCAGGTGTGACCCGGCCATTTCTTGTGCACCAAAAAAAATGGGATCAAAGTTTCTGGGCGCCGCTTTCTCCCCCTTTTTTTGGGCTGCTCCAGGCTGCCATTGAATCCCCACTTTCATGTGGGGATTTCTGTCCTTTAGATCTTCAAAGAAATCCAGCAATCAAACAGGAGGTTGTGGAGGCACCTTAAAAAAATAACTACAAAAAAAAAAAAAAAAAAAACTACAAAAAAAAGCTACAGAAAAAAAAAAAATCGCTTTGAAAGAATCAGAGGCAAAGGAACACCTCAGCTTTGTTGTGCTAATTGTTCCGGCACTCAAAGTTCTGACAAAATGTCTCAGAAATCTCCCTGGCTCCGCGCCCACCCTGTGTCAGACACACAAAGAAAGGCTCCGACACAAAACCCGGGCAAGGGAGGAAAACCGACCCGGGGAGATTCCGACAGGAAAAAACAATCCCAGTGTTGTTATAGGACACGAAAGAACACAAGCTCACACCGCTGTTCTCAAGGTGAAGAAAAAGGGAAGTTTATTTTCTGACTCCAACATTTATAGATTTCCAAAAGACGCCCTGGATTGGAGGGTGACAGTGCCACCTCTCCAATGACACTGGACAAACCAACAGTCCACCAAATTTCTCCTCCTCCATAAAGGAATGCAAAACAATGAGTTATTTACAGAAAGCGTGTGAGAAAGTTCACTACAAGAACGTCAACATCAGAAGGCTTAGAAAATCTTAAAAAACCAGGGTGGCGTCCCAGGGCTCCAAAGAAGGAGCTCGGCTGTGGCCACAGGGAGGTGACACCCAAATTCCAGAGTTCCAGGGCATCCCTGAGCTGCTCTGGGGGTCATTAACAGCCACCGTTAATGAGCACGGCCTCCATGCCATGTTAATGAGTTAATGAGCACGGCCTCCATGCCATGTCGCTCATATCTTCCCCTCCAAGCTGTGTCTTCCTCCTTGACTTTCTCCCCTGCTTTTGCAACATCTGTGAGCTTCGTTTTGGCCTGGTTTGGTCCTTTGCGCTGCACCTGATACAATCCCGGTCCGTTTTCTTGCAGTCACTAAATTCCCCAATTATTTTGCCCCTTCCCAGCGGTTCTGGGGCGCTCCAGCCCCATCCCCACCTGCATTCCAGTGGGATGTGGATCACCTTTGGCCACCGCTGTCGCTGGGGTCACCCCAATGTCCCCCCGAGCCCGCAGTGCTCTCCATCCCAAGGAAAGGCTGTCTGGAGCCGGGATTCCCGCACAAGCCTGGGCAGGAGCCGGAGCTGGGCTGACTCAGAGCCCCTGGGGCCAGGGGAGCGCCCAGAGCTCGGCTCTGCCGGGAAAGGCTCGGCCGGGAGCGGCTGGGAGTGGTGCTGGAGCTGCTCTGCTCCCCCAGCCTGATCACGGTTGCTCCAACCCCAAAATTTCCTTTTTTTCCCCTTTTTCCCCCTTTCTCAGGGCGCTGCCACTGCTTGGGGGGATGTGGATCCCAAAGCAGCCCCCGGATGAGGGGGATCCAGGCCTCAGGCACATCACCCATGCCAGCATTCCCATGAATACTCTTTGGGAATGCCCAATTCCCATGGCTGAAAGTCCCCACACCTGTGCTGTGGCCATGGTTGCAGCCCCAAACCAGTGGGAAGCACCAATTATCCCCAGAACCAGCAGGAGAAGGGTCCAGGCTGGAGAATCCCTTGGGATTATCCCAGGAAAACTTGGATCAGTGGATATAAAACCACAGGAGGTGCTGGAGATGTTTGCTGTGCTCTGCTCCCCAAAATTCCCTTTTTCTCCCTTTCTCAGGGCGCTGCTGCTGCTCGGGGGGATGTGGATCCCAAGGCAGGCCCCGGGTGAGGGGGATCCAGGCCTCAGACACTTCACCCACCCCAGCATTCCCATGAAAAATCCTTGGAAATGCCCAATTCCCATGGCTGAAAGTCCCCACACCTGTGCTGTGGCCATGGTTGCAGCCCCAAACCAGTGGGAAGCACCAATTATCCCCAGAACCAGCAGGAGAAGGGTCCAAACTGGATAATTCCTTGGGATTATCTCAGGAAAGCCTGGATCGGTGGATACAAACCCACAGCGGAGTCTGGGGTTGCATTTTGGCTCAGCCATTTCTTGTGCTCCAAAAAAAAAATGGGATCAACGTTTCTGGGCGCCGCTTTCTTCCCCCTTTTTTGGGCAGCTCCAGGCTGCCATTGAACCCCCACTTTCATGTGGGGATTTCTCTCCTTCCTCCAGCACAATTCATCTCCCGCATTCCAGGATTCCAGCCCTGCTCCCACACCCCTCAGGGCAGCAGCGTTTGGGGCTGAAGTCACCCCTCAAAAATGACATTTTCTCATCAAAACGCGGCTGAGGTCACTCCCGGAGCGCCGCGGGGCCGGGCGGGGATGCGGGAATTGCCCAGCCGGGGATGAAAGAGCCGCCGATGGTGGTGGGGGCGGCCAGGGGGGCTCGGGAATCCCGGCTGGGATGAAAGGAGCGTTCCCAGGGGCTGCCGGGGGAATTCCGGCGCTGCGGGCACCGCGGGGTCCCCGCTGTCACCGCCTGTCCCAGGGCTGTTCCCACCCTTGCCATGGATGCACCCGGGACTCGGAGCGGCCCCGGGAGGTGCCAGAGCTCAGGGTGGGCTGAGCTGGCCACGAGAGAGGGACAAGATCTGGTGGCACCTGTGGGGACACCAGGTGGGCAGCAGGACAAGCTCTGGTGCCACCAACAGGGACACAGGACAGGTGTGGGCAGCAGGACATCTCTGGTGTCACCAGCTCCAAAAACAGCACATGGGGACGTTTTCCTGAAAATCCCAGATGAAATAGGGCCAGAACATCCTGGGATGCTCCAAACACAAAAAGGACCCTCTGCTCCATGCCTGGCCCCAGACCAGTGCATGGGGATGTTTTCCAGCAAATTCTGGATGAAACAGGGCTGGAACATTCTGGGATGCTACAACAGGAAACCTAAAAAGGACTTCTTGCTCCGTGCCAGGCTCATCCCATCCCATCCCATCCCATCCCATCCCATCCCACACCATGGATTCCATCCTATCTCATGGATCCCATCCCATCCCATAGATCCCATCCCATTCCATGGATCCCATCCCATCCCATCCCATCCCATCCCATCCCATCCCATCCCCCACCATGGATTCCATCCTATCTCATGGATCCCATCCCACCTCATGGATCCCATCCCATTCCATGGATCCCATCCCATCCCATCCCACCCCATGGATCCCATCCCACCCCATGGATCCCATCCCATCCCACCCCATGGATCCCATCCCATCCCATAGATCCCATCCCACCCCATGGATCCCGTGGATCCCACCCCATCCCCTGGATCCCATCCCACGGATCCCATCCCACCCCATGGATCCCATCCCATCCCATCCCACCCCATGGATCCCGTGGATCCCACCCCATCCCCTGGATCCCATCCCACCCCATCCCATCCCACGGATCCCACCCCGCCCCTGCAGCCCCCCGGGCACCGCCGGGACTTTGCCCGGGCTCAGCCGCTTTAAGGCTCCGGAATTCCTGCGAGGCTCGGGAAGCACGCGGGGAATGCGCGGCGGGGGGCCGAGCGCGGTGACCCCCCCGTGCCACCTCCAAAGGGACAAAGGGTGGCATTCCGGGCATGCCCTGCCACTCTATGACCCCCCAAGCCAGGACAAAGGGTGGCATTCCGGGCCCCCCTGTGGCCCCCCCCAAAGGGACACAGGGTGGCATTCCGGGCATGCCCTGCCACCCGGCCACCGTCCCCTGCCACCTCTGCCAGGACAAAGGTGGCATTCCGGGCCCCTGTGACCCCCCCGTGCCAGCCCCAAAGGGACAGCCCCATCCCAGCAGGAAAGGGACAGGGACTCAGGGACAAGGACACAGAGACAGGGACAGGGACAGGCCCATTCCAGCAGGAAAGGGACAGGGACATAAGGACAAGGACACAGGGACACAGAGGCAGGGACACAGGGACAGGGACAGCCCCATCCCATCAGGAAAGGGACAGGGACACAGGGACAAGGACAGGGACACAGGAACAAGGACACAAGGGACAGGGACAGCCCCATCCCAGCAGGAAAGGGACAGGGACACAGGGACAGCAGCCCCTCCCTCACCCCCAGCAATCACAGTGACAACTCAGCTTTACCGTTTGCTTTAATTTAATGTTTTTCTCCAGCCCGCGCTGTAGCAAGGAGGGAAAACACAACACCCAGCCCAGAGAGGGGAGAGGGCAGCGAGCACTCGTGGCGGCAGTGCAAGGGAGCCGTGTGTGACACGAGGACACGGCCACCTCCCCAAAAACACCCCTGGACGGCCTCTGAGGAGCCAGACACATCCCGCGCTGCTGCCCTCCAACCAGCCTGGGCAAAGGCAATAAATCAATAAATCAATAAATAAACTCACGGTGCCTCACCAATGGCACCTTTTTTTTTTTTTTCTCTCTTTTTTTTTCTTTTTTTCCACATTACAATGAGAGATGTTGGCATCACAGCATTTCCCAGCCCGGGCTTTTGGCCACGTCCAGTTCTCAGCACTCAGGAGAGGGCAGAGCCGTGGCCTGGGTGCCCCCAGCACCCCCCAAAGCCCACGGGCAGCACCTTGGAGCCCTCACCAGCACCCTGCTACATCTGCAGCTTGTTTGAGGTATATCACCCACCCCTCCTCTACCTTGTGCAGCCAAAAAACAGTGCAAAAAAACCCCCCAAAATCCCCCCAACCCCTTGCTTTCACCCCCATGATGAGATGAGATTGTTTGAGAGGGAAGGACGGCAGCGAGGACCCCCAGCCCCTCCTTGGGGACAACTTTGGGGGTTTTGGTCCATTAAATGTCCTGGCCCTGGGGCATCCCCTGCCCCGAGGCTGCCAAATCAATCCTGGGATGTGGATCAGCAGCACCGGCAGCCCCGGGAGGGAGGGAGGGAAGGGGAAAGAAGAGAAAAAGAGAAAAAAGAAAAAAAGGGAAGGAGAAGGTGGGAAAAGGGAAAAAAGAAAAAGGAAGGAGGAAAGGAAAGGAAAGGAAAGGAAAGGAAAGGAAAGGAAAGGAAAGGAAAGGCAAGGCAAGGCAAGGCAAGGCAAGGCAAGGCAAGGCAAGGCAAGGCAAGGCAAGGAAAGGAAAGGAAAGGAAAGGAAAGGAAAGGAAAGGAAAGGAAAGGAAAGGAAAAGGAAAGGAAAAGGAAAGGAAAAGGAGGGCTCAGCTCAGCTTCCCCCCGACGGCCACAGCCCGCCGGTAGAGCTCGGTGCCGCTGTCACACCCCGCCAGGGACGCGCTGCGCTCGGCCAAGGGGCTGCGGCAGTGGGTGACAGTCCAGCGGCGCAGCCGCCGCCCTTCCTCCCGCTCCTCCTCCTCCTCCAGCCGCAGCAGGCTCTCTGCGGACGCGCAGCCCCGCATGGCGGCCCCGGGGGCGCGGCGGGCCGGCAGCTCCAGCTGCTCGAAGGACTCTGTGGACAGGATGCTGTCCTCGCTGACGGCGCTGCCGGGCCGGGCGCGGGGTCCCTGCGGCAGCGACACCTCCCCGAAACCCCCGATTGCGCTCTCGAGGGGGGTCCCGGGGGGCTCCGCGCTGCCCCCCGAGGAGGAGAATTTGCCGTTGTGTTTGAGGATTCCTTTCCTGCGGGCCGGCAGCCCCTGCGGGGCCGGGCAGGGCTCGGCGAACACGGGCCCGTCCAGGTCCAGGCTCGCCGCGTCCAGAACATCCCCGGACTCGCTGCACTCCAGGGATGAGTAATACCCAGACTCCCTGGCCGAGGGTTTCTTCAGGATTCCCTTCCTGGGCGCTGCCGCCGCTGTCCCGGGGGGCTGCGGGAGCCGGGACAGCCCCGCGGGGGGACCCTCGCCACCCTCCCCGGGGCTGGGCGCCTTCTGCTCCACAGAGTTCCTCTTCTTCAGGATGCCCTTGGGCCGCTTGAGGACGGACTTGGCGGGGTTCTCGGGCCCCGGGGGCGCCTCCTGAAGGGCCTGCGAGATGTCGTTCTCCTTCTTGGACTTCTTGAGGGAGCGCTGGCGCTCCAGGGCCGCGCCGGGCAGGTGCTGCTTGAGGAAGCAGCGCACCTTGGAGCCGTTGTCCAGCAGCGGGCGGGAGGAGCGGCGCAGCCACTCGGCCACCGAGGCCAGCGGGGACTCGCTGTCCCGCAGCAGCTCCTCCTGCTCGCCCAGGGCTGTTCTGTAGCCCCAGTTGACCCACCAGTGCGTGGCGATGTCCTCGATGGTGGCGCGGCGCTCGGGGTTCACCATCAGCATCCAGCGGATCAGCCCGCAGGCGTCTGGGGAGGGACGGGAGGGGACACGGGGAAGGGACAGGTCAGGCATGGCAGGGGACACGGGCACAGGAGGGGACACGGAGAGGGACAGGAGGGAACACGGGGAAGGGACAGGTCAGGCATGGCAGGGGACACGGGCACAGGAGGGGACACGGAGAGGAACAGGGGGGAACACGGGGAAGGGACAGGTCAGGCATGGCAGGGGACACGGGCATAGGAGGGGACACGGGGAAGGGACAGGTCAGACACAGGAGGAGACATGGGGAAGGACAGGAGGGGACACAGGGAGGGACAGGTCAGGCATGGCAGGGGACACGGGGAGGGACAGGAGGGGACACGGGGAGGGACAGGAGGGGACATAGGGAGGGACAGGAACGGAGATGGGGAAAGGACAGGAGGGGAGATGGGGAAGGGACAGGACAGGCACAGAAGGGGACACAGGGAAAGGACAGGTCAGGCATGTAAGGGGACAGGGGACGGGACAGGGACAGGTCAGGCACAGAAGGGGACACAGGGAAAGGACAGGTCAGGCACAGGAGGGAAGATGGGGAGGGACAGGAAGGGACGCGGGAATGGGACAGGTCAGGCATGGGAGGGGACACGGGGACGGACAGGAGGGGACACAGGGAGGGACAGGAGGGGACACGAGGAAGGGACAGGGAGAGGTCAGGCACAGGAGGGGACACAGGGAAGGGACAGGTCAGACACAGAAGGGGACACGGGGAAGGGACAGGAGGGGACATGGGGAAGGGACAGGTCAGCCATGGGAAGGGACACGGGGGAGGGACAGGTCAGGCACAGGAAGGGACATGTCAGGCATGCGAGGGGACACAGGGGAGGGGGACACACACAGGGGGATGGGGGTGTCCCTACCTGACAGCTTCGTGGGCTCCCTGTAGTCCCCGCTCGTGATCTGCTTGACCAGAGTTTTGTAGTCGTGGCCATCAAAGGGCATGGTGCCGTGGACCAGGATGTAGAGCAGGACACCCAGGGACCAGCTGTCCACCTGAGAAAGGGACACAGGAGCCTGGAGGGGACTGCAGGACCGGGCTGTCCTGGTCCCCACCCCACCAATGTCCCATCAGGACTCCCAGGATGGCAGCAGCCCCAGGGAAGGGACAGAGTGTGAGGCAGGACCCCAGCACACCTGGGACGCAGACATCTTTTATGAAAAATCCTTTCCTTGGGATTTTTCCTCCTGAGAAGCTGGGAGGCCTCAGGAACAAAATGTAAACATTGATTATCTGCTGCTGTGGGATGCAACAGGTGCATCTGTGATTGGTTTCATGTGGTTGTTTCTAATTCATGGCCAATCACAGCACAGCTGGTTTGGACACAGAGCCTGAGCCACAAACCTTTGTTATTATTCCTTCTTATTCTATTCTTAGCCAGCCTTGTGATGAAATCCTTTCTTCTATTCTTTTAGTATAGTTTTAATATAATATATACACCATAAAATAATAAATCAGCCTTCTGAAACATGGAGTCAGATCCTTGCCTCTTCCCTCATCCTCGGACCCCTGTGAGCACGGTCACACACCCCCAGCAACCCCACAGTGCCGGGCTCGGGGGTCCTGTCACCCCAAAATCCCCTGGGAAAACCCCAGAGCCATCCCCACCCCGCAGGGAGGCAGAACCCACCTCGGGGCCCTTGTAGGGGCGCCCGTTGATGATCTCGGGGGACGCGTACAGGGGGCTGCCGCAGTACGTCTGCAGGAGCTTGTCCTGCTGGAACACGTTGGACAGCCCGAAATCTGCGATCTGGGGGGGCAAACACAGCGGTCAGCCAGCAGCAAAGGCCCCATGCCCAAAGTCCCCTTTCCCAAAGCTTCTTTTCCCAAAGTTCCCTTTCCCAAGTTCCCCTTTCCTAAAGACCCATTTCTCAAGTTCCCCTTTCCAAAGTTCCCCTTTCTCAACAAAGTTCCCCTTTCCCAAGTCCTCTTTCCCAAAGTCCCCTTTCCCAAAGTTTCTCTTTCCCAAGTTCCTCTTTTCCAAAGCCCCCTTTCCCAAACTTCCCTTTCCTAAAGCCCCCTTTCCCAAGTTCCTCTCCCCAAGTTCCTCTTTGCCAAAATCTCCTTTCCCTAAGCTCCCTTTCCTAAATTCCCCTTTCCCAATTTCCCCTTCCCTGAAGTCCCCTTTCCCAAAGTCTCCTTTCCAAAGTTTCTCTTTCTCAAAGTCTCCTTTCCCAAAGTCCCCTCTCCCAAGTTCCTCTTTCCCAAAGCCCCTTTTCCCAAAGCCTCCTTTCCCAGTTCCTCTTTCCCAAAGTTCCCCTTTCCAAGTTCCCCTTTCCTAAAGCCCCCTTCCCCAAGTTCCCCTTTCCTGAAATTCCCTTCCTCAAAGCCCTCTTTCCCAAGTTCCCCTTTTCCCAAGTTCCCCAAGGCTCCAAGTTCCTGGAGCTCTCCAGGGATGACCCTGCTCCAAACCAGGGCTGCCCTTGGCTCTGAACCCCCTCAGCCTGCTTCTCCACCCCTGATCTCGCTCCTGCTGCTCTCTGCCTCCCAAAAACATCAATTCAGGAGCTGCCCTGTGGCCCTGGCAGCAGGAGCAGAGCAGGAAGGTGAGGCTGGAAAGGCTTCCAGGCTCTCCTGCAGGAGAGCAGAGCAGGAAGGAGAGGCTGGAAGCGCTTCCAGGCTCTCCTTCAGGAGAGCAGAGTGAGGAAATCAGGGTGGAAAGGCTTCCAGGCTCTCCTCCAGCTCATTCCCAGCCACCCCAGGCTGCAGCGGTCCCCACCTCGCCCAGGTGCTCATTATCCTCATTAGAGCTGGCATCACCTCCCAGCCAGCAGGAGCTTTCCTGGCTGCCCTCGAGCTCCCAATTACTAAATTATCCCTGGTGGAGATAAACCCCGTTATCAGTGACCGCGGGGATGCCCAGGCCAGGCTGTGCCCTTCCTCCTGGGCAGAAATCACCACTGGGAGAGCTCAGATTTCCTGGCAGGCAAAGAGCCAGTGTTGATCTGGGCACTCAGAATTTGATAATTTGCCCTTCTCATCCAGCCAGAGCTGATCTGGGCACTCAGAATTTGCCCCAGCACTGATTTGGGCACTCAGAATTTGCCATTCTTTGCCATTGCTGATCTGGGCACTCAGAATTTGAGAATTTGCCCTTCTCATCCAGCCAGCACTGATTTGGGCACTCAGAATTTGCTCTTCTCATCCACCCAGCACTGATCTGGGCGCTCAGACTTTGCCCTCTTATCAGCAGATAAGATCTGCTAAAGCCAGTATCAGTTATGGCTCCACCACATCTGTTAGGCTCTGCCAGCTCTCCACAGCATTCCATGGGCGTCAGAGCTCAGTGCCCCGAGGGCACTGAGGCCTTGTGGGCACCCCCAGGCCGGGCAGCTCCCCCAGGCCCCTCCTCACCTTGATGTTCCCGTTGGCATCCAGCAGGATGTTCTCCAGCTTCAGGTCCCGGTGCACAATCCCGTTCTGCGGGAAGAGAAGGGGTTAATGCGGGCAGGGCTGGAGGCAGGGAAAGTCCTGGAGGTCACTGCCGGGCAGGGCAGGGCAAACCGGAGCCACAAACAGCCCGGGCGTGGCCCTGGCATGGGTGGCCCAGCCTGGGTGGCACCAGCTGGGCAGCGGGAGCAGGGAGGCGCCTGCACCTCCTCCATTGTCACCAGCTGTGCCAGCACGCGGTGCCAGCCCCACCTGGGCACAGCTCCTGCTCGGGCAGAGCCTGCTGTGCCCAGAGGAGAGAGCTTTCAATCTGGTTTGGGGTCAGGAGCTGCTCTGCCACCCCCTGCTCCCACCGAGGGCTGGGGCACAGCCTTGGAGGGTCCTACAGGGACACCCTGGGGCTGGAGGGTCCTGCCAGGGCTCCATCCACATCTGGGGAGGGTCCTGTCAGGAGGGTCCTGCCAGGGCATTGTCAACAGCCCCAGGGAAGGTCCTGCAAGGGCTCCATTCACAGCCTGGGGAGGGTCCTGCCAGGGCATCATCTGCAGCCCCAGGAAGGTCCTGCCAGGGCATCATTCGCAGCCTGAGGAGGGTCCTGCCAGGGTATTGTCCACACACAGGGAGGGTCCTGCCAGGGCATCACCCACACTCTGAGGGTCCTGCCAGGGCTCCATCCACAGCCTGGGGAGGGTCCTGCAGCTTCACACTCCAATCAGGAACAGGACAGGTGACCCAATCAGGACAGGTGACCCGAACAGGACAGGTGACCCAGGCTTGGCTTCCAGCCCCGAGGGCAGCTCTGGGCGTCTCCGTCTGCTCGGGAGGGAGGGGAGGTGACAGTGCCAGGCCGGGCTGGGAGGGGAGGTGACAGTGCCAGGCCGGGTTAGTCACCCTCACAGTGCAGCAGCCGGGCCAGGAGCTCCCAAAAGCTGCCGGGGCACTGCCACACCCTCGGGACTCAGGCAGGATCAGCCCTTGTGTGGGGAAGGTGGAGAGGCACGAGCTGCTCTCAGCTCCTGTGGGGCTGCTGCAGGGAGGAGAGCTGGGGAGCACATCCCGCCAGGAAACCATCGAGAATCCAGCGGGAAGAGCACTCAGGAGCCCATCCAGCCAGGGAAACCATCATGAGGAGGGCTGAGGAGCCTATCCCACAGGGAAACCATTGGGAATCCATTGGGAGGATGGCCCAGGAGCCTATCCAGCCACTCTCCCACCAGGAAACCATCAGAAGGAGGGCTCAGAAGCCCATCCAGCCTGGAATCCCTCAGGAGGAGGGCTCAGGAGCCCATCCTGCTGGGAAACCATCAAGAGGGGGGCTCAGGAGCCCATCCAGTCAGGAAACCACAGCGAGAAGAACCCAGGAGTCCATCCCACCAGAAAACCGTCGGGAATCCATCAGGAGGAAGGTTCAGGAGCCCATCCAGCCCAGAATCCATTGGGAGGAGCGCCCAGGAGCCCATCCAGCCGGGAAACCATCAGGAGGAGGGCTCAGGAGCCCATCCAGCCTGGAATCCATCGGGAAACCATCGGGAGGAGGGTTTGGGAGCCCATCCAGCCAGGACACCATTGGCAGGAGGGCTCAGGAACCCATCCAGCCCAGAATCCATCATGAGGAGAACCCAGGAGCCCATCCAGCCACTCTTCCTCTGGGAAACCACCAGGAGGAGGGCTCAGGAGCCCATCCAGCCCCAAATCCATTGGGAGGAGCACCCAGGAGCCCATCCAGCCAGGAAACCATCGGGAAACCATCAGGAAGAGCACTCGGGAGCCCTTTCCACAGGGGAACCATTGGGAAGCCATCACGAGGAGCGCCCAGGAGCCCATCCAGCCTGGAATCCATCAGGAGGAGGGCTCAGGAGCCCATCCAGTCACTCTTCCCCTGGGAAAGCCCCAGGAAGCCCCAGGCAGGGCAGTGTCACCCACTTTGTGGCATTGGTGCCACCCACCCTGTGGCATTGGTGCCACCCATCCCGTGGCATTGGTGTCCCCGTGTCACCCACCTTGTGGCAGTAGTAGACGGCGGACACGACCTGGCGGAAGAAGTGCCGCGCCTCCTGCTCCGAGAGCCGCTGCCTCTCGCTGATGTACTCGTACAGGTCGCCCTTGCTGGCGTATTCCATCACGATGACGATCTTGGCGCTGTTCTCAAACACTGCGGGAGGCAGGAAAGGGTTAAAAGGGACCCTCAAACCTCATTAGGAGATTCTGTTAATGAGCAGGTGGAGCTTTGGTTGACGCTAATGCCAGTCCCTGCCCTCAGTCTTGGGTTAAACGGGGACCTGGAGGTCAGGGGGGCCACCAGAGCTGTCACCCACCCGCAGCCACCAATGCCACCAGGGCTGCTGGGCCAGCAGCTCCGCCACCACTGAGGCTGTGCCACCACTGAGGCTGTGCTATTAGCAACTCTGCCACCACCGAGGCTGTGTCACCACTGAGGTTCTGGGGCGCCACCAGCTGTGCCACCACTGAGGTTGTGGCCGCCACAAAGGCTCTGTCACCACCAGCTCTGCCACCATTGAGGCTGTGTCACCACTGAGGCTCTGCCATCACTGAGTATCTGCCACCACAGAGGTTCTGTGCCACCACCAAGGCTGTGCCAACACCAGCTGTGCAACCAGAAAGGCTCTACCACCACCAACTGTGCCACCACTGAGGCTGTGCTATCAGCAACTCTGCCACCACCAAGGCTGTGTCACCACTGAGGCTCTGTCACCACCATGGCTGTGCCACCACCAGATGTGCTGGCACAGCAGCTCTGCCACCACTGAGGCTCTGCCACCACCAGCTGTGCCACCACAGAGGCTCCACCACCACCGAGGCTGTGCCACCAGAAAGGCTCTACCACCATAAGGGCTGTGCCACCACTGGCTCTGTCCCCAGAGGTGACTCAGGCGTGCTGTCTTTGCTGGAACCCCGCCAAGGGAAGGTGACAACACCGGCCCAGCCGTGACCTTCCTGTCTGTTCCCATCGCTCCCAAAAAAGGCTCTGCTGGAACCAGGAGCACTTTTTGTTTTTTTTCCTGTTTGCAGCGAGGCAGAGCTCGGTAGTTTTGAATTCCAGTGAGTCAGCCCTGCAAACAGCGCGGAGGAGCTGCCAGCCCTGCTCGCCTTTGTTTGCGGCACAAAAGGGCCCTGGATCCCTCACTGACACCGGCAGCAGGAGCAGAGCCAGCCCCAGGAAAGGCTCCGCACAAGGATCTGCTAAGCCTGACCTAAATGAGGGTTTAGGCTGAGTCTGGCTCTGGTTCAATTACCCCAAAGCCCAGCCCTGGCCATAAAGCCGAGCCCGGCAGCACCAGGAACTCTCCCAGCGCCAGGACAGGCTCAGCCCAAGGACTGGATCTGCTAAGCCTGACCTAACTGTGGGTTTCGGCTGAGTTTGGTTCTGGTTCAATTTCCCCTGGGTTACCCCAAGCCCAGCCCTGGCCATAAAGCCGAGCCCGGCAGCACCAGGAGCTCTCCCAGCAGCTGTGGTTTGGTTTTCCAGTGCTCCAGGGGAGGGAATGAGGAGGACTGAGATTAAATTAAACCCTGCCTCAGGCTCAGGGCAGAGCCAAGGAGATGCCAAAATCTCTGGGCACAGCCACACTCAGCCCCTGCTCAGCCTCCCTGCACTGACCCAAAGATCCACATTTGTGAGCTGGGATCGGGGGCTAAATGTGGATTTTGGAATTGAACAAATTGAATGTCCAAAATCCACATTTGTGAACAGGGATCAGGGGTTAAATGTGGATTTTGGAATCCAACAAATTCCATATTTGTGAGCACAGATTAGGGGCTAAATGTGGATTTTGGAATCGATAAAAACCCATATTTGTGAGCGGGGGTCAGGGGCTAAATGTGGAATTTGGAATCCACCAAATTCCATATTTGTGACCAGGGAGCAGGGGTTAAATGTGGATTTTGGAAACCACCAAAATCCACATTTGTGAGTGGGGATCAGGGGTTAAATGTGGATTTTGGAATTGACCCTGGGGCTGTGCAGGGAGGCTGAGCGAGGAGCAGGGACTGAGTATCCAAAATCCACATTTTCCGCTGGATTCCCTGTCTGGGAAGGAGGGGATGGGACAGGAAGGGCGATTTCTGGTTCAGGTATTTCCCCTCACTGGAGAAAAACCAAAAACACAGCCCAGGAACATCTGCATTGCCTGGGAGCGGCCAGGAACGGGGCCAGGTCCTGGAAGGGAGGAGGGGGCTGGGCTGAACCCACCCAAGATGAGCTAAACCCACCCAAACTGAGCTAAACCCACCCAAGATGAGCTAAACCCACCCAAACCGAGCTAAACCCAGCCAAACTGAGTTAAACCCATCCAAACCGAGCCAAACCAGGCTAAACCCACCCACGATGAGCTAAACCCATCCAAACCGAGCCAAACCCACCCAAACCGAGCCAAATCAGGCTAAACCTACCCAAACCGAGCCAAATCCACCCAAACCGAGCCAAACCCACCCAAACCAGGCTAAACTCACTCAAGATGAGCTAAACCCACCCAAACTGAGTTAAACCCACCCAAACCGAGCCAAACCCACCCAAACCGAGCCAAACCCACCCAAACCAGGCTAAACCCACTCAAGATGAGCTAAACCCACCCAAACTGAGTTAAACCCACCCAAACTGAGTTAAACCCACCCAAACCGAGCCAAACCCAGCCAAACTGAGTTAAACCCATCCAAACCGAGCCAAACCAGGCTAAACCCACCCACGATGAGCTAAACCCATCCAAACCGAGCCAAACCCACCCAAACCGAGCCAAATCAGGCTAAACCTACCCAAACCGAGCCAAACCCACCCAAACCGAGCCAAACCCACCCAAACCAGGCTAAACCCACTCAAGATGAGCTAAACCCACCCAAACTGAGTTAAACCCACCCAAACCGAGCCAAACCCACCCAAACCGAGCCAAACCCATCCAAACCGAGTTAAACCCACCCAAACCGAGCCAAACCCACCCAAACTGAGCCAAACCCACCCAAACCAAGCCAAACCCACCCAAACCGAGCCAAACCCACCCAAATCGAGCCAAACCCACCCAAACTGAGCCAAACCCACCCAAACCGAGCCAAACCCACCCAAACCGAGCCAAACCCACCCACGATGAGCTAAACCCATCCAAATCGAGCCAAACCCACCCAAACCGAGCCAAACCAGGCCAAACTCACCCCAAGAGCCCCCCAGGGGTACCCAGCCCGTTCCAGATGCTCGGATCATGGAAAAGGGAAGGGAGAGGAGGGCTCACCTTCGTGCACAGCGATGATGTGGGGGTGGTTGAGCGAGGACATGATCTCAATCTCCCTCCGGATGTGGACAAGGTCCTGCTCATCCTTGATTTTGTCCTTCCGGATGGATTTGATGGCCACCTGTGTTGGAGGAGCACGGAGAGGAGTGTGAGTTCCCAAAGGAAGGGATTCCTCCCTCCCCTGTTCTGGGAAGGGCTCACAAACATCCCCAGCTCCATGGAAACAGCGCCCGGAAAAGAGAATTTTATCCATTTGGGGTTTGGTCTTCCCAAATCCTGCTGCCGAAAACGAGGGGGAAGCTGCCACTGAGGGAAACCTGTGACAGCTCCTCATTTTTGGGGGTCCTCCCAGTTAGCCCAGATATGATTTTTGGGGCTGCCCAGGACTCCTCCATCAGGCAGACCTGTTCCTGATTTTTTGGGGTTCCCTAAGCCTCCATCAGGCAGCACAGCTCTGATTTTTGGGGGCTCCTGAACCTTCTCCCAGGCAGGCCTGCTCCTGATTTTTGGGGCTCCCCAAGATTCCTCGATCAGGTAACACAGCCCTGATTTTGGGGGCTCCCTGAGCATCCTCCCAGTTAGCCCAGCTCTGAATTTTGGGGCTTTCTGAGCCTCCTCCCAGGTAGTCCAGATGTGATTTTTGGGGCTCCCTAAGATTCCTTTATCAGGCAGCACAGCCCCGATTTTGGGGGCTCCCTGAGTGTCCTTCATCAGGTAACACAGCCCTGATTTTTGGGGCTCCCCAAGATTCCTCCTCTCAGATAGCACAGCTCTGATTTTGGGGCTCCCAAAATTCCTCTTTTAGGTAGATCTGCTCCTGGTTTTTGGGGTTCCCTGACCTCAATCAGGTAGCACAGCCCTGATTTTTGGGGCTCCCCAAGATTCCTCTATCAGGTAAAACAACCCTGATTTTGGGGGCTCCCCAAGACTCCTCAACCCTGATTTTAGGGGCTTCCTGAGCCTCCTCCATCAGGTAACACAGCCCTGGGTTTTGGGGCTCCCCAAGACTCCTCCGGGGTGACCCAGATGTGATTTTTGGGGCTGCCCAAGACTTCTCCTCTCAGGTCACACAGCCCTGATTTTTGGGAGCCCAAGTCTCCTCCCAGGGAGCACAACCCTGATTTTTGGGGCTCCCCAAGATTCCTTTATCAGGAATCACATCCTGGATTTTTGGGGCTCCCCAAGCCTCCTCCCTCAGCCCCTCTCCCGATTTTTGGGCTTGGCATGGATCGTGTCCTGCCTCAGGAATGTGCCCAGCACGCAGGACTCGGGAGATAACAACAACAACAACCACAAGAACAACAACCACAACAACAACCAAAACAAACACAGCAGCCAATTCCTGACGTCAGGAAAAGCAATAAAACCCCACACCTCGCTTTTTTTTTTTAGCCTCTAAACCACTTTATTTCTACGAGTAAGAGAAAGTTTGGGTGACAAAGCAGGAAGGGGGTGGGAGACCTGGAATTTTCCAGTTTTGCGTTTCCAACTTTTCCTCCACGAGGAGGAGATTGAAAAGGGAGGAGAAAGAGGGGTAAGAATAGAACAGCCGCCCTCTAATCCCCTTTCAAAGGGGCTGCGGGCACACAAAGCGCTCCCAGGGCCGAATTTACAACTGAATCCAGCAGAACCTTTTCATTTTTTTTTTTTATTCTTTTTTTTTTCCCCTTTTTTCTTTTTTCCCCCTCCCAGACAAGAATGCGGAACAGTTTTAATCCCGTCCAGGGAGGCTCGCAGCATCTCCCAGCAACGGGAGAGGGGCCCGGAGCCCCCGAGGGGTGGGAGGGATGCTCGGCCCCGTCCCTGCCATCGAGGGGCCGTGCAAACCCCGCTCCTCAAAGCCCGGCCCAGGGTTTAGCTAAGCCAGGCCTGGGGCACCCGCAGCAGGTGCTGAACCAGGGAGGTGGCTCTGAAAGGGGGCTCAGGTGGGCACCCGAAGTCCTTTTTTGGCACTGAATCCCATTTTTGTGGACCCAAATCCCATTCTTGTGGCCCTAAACTTCATTTCTCTAGCCCCAAACCCCATTTATCTGGCAACAAGTCCCATTTTTATAGCCCTAAATGCCATTCTTATAGCCCCAAATTCCACTTTTTCTGGCCCCATGCCCCACAGTTTTTAGCCCCAAACCCCATCTTTTTCTGGCCCCAAATCCCATATCTGGTAACCCCGAACCTCATTTTTCTGTAGCCCCAAAACTCATTTTAGTGGCCCCAAATCCCATTTTCCTGGCCCCAAATCAAATCCCAATCTGTAGCCTCAAATCCCATTCCTGTAGCCCCAAAACCCATTTTAGTGGCCCCAAACCCCATTTTTCTTGCCCTAAACGCCATTTCTGTGGCCCCACGTGTAATTTTTCTGGCCCCAAATGCCATTTTTCTACCCCCAAACCCCATTTTTTTCTGGCCCCAAATCCCATATCTGTACCCCCAAATCCCATTTTTCTGGCCCCAAACCCCATTTCTGTAGCCTCAAACCCCATTTTTTCTAGCTCCAAACCCCATTTTTTCTAGCTCCAAACCCCATTTCTGTACCCCCAAACCGCATTTTCCTTGCCCCAAATCCCATTTTAGTGTCCCCAAATCCCATTTTAGTGTCCCCAAACACCATTTTTGTGCCCTAAATCCCATTTTTGTGTCCCCAAACCCCATTTTCCTGGCCCCAACCCCTCAGTCAGCCCCATCCAGGGCAGGCATTGCCCCTGGAGGATCCATCACGCGGATCCAGCGGACTCTGCCCAGCACAAGTTCAACAACCCCGGCCCAGGTTTCTTTTTAAAGCGATTCCGAAAGCGTTTAACGCTTCTGGGAAAGCCGGCCAGGTGTTTTTCCCCCGACCTTTGCTTTGCAGGTTAAATTTTAACAATATTTTCATTGCTGCCCCAGTGCCCTGAGCCTTGCAGATCCTTCCTGCAGCCTCCAAATTCCTGCAGCCTCCTGCAAAGCCTGGCACGCTGCCCACAGCCAAAGTTTTGGGGCATTTTGGGGCATTTTGAAGTATTTTCCCTGCAGCCAAAAGTTTTGGGGCATTTTGGAGCATTTTGGGGCATTTTAGAGCTTTTCCTTGCTGCCTCCTGCAAAGCCTCACACCCAGCCCAGCAGCGAAAATTCTGGGGCATTTTGGACCATTTTAGGAGCATTTTAGGAGCATTTCCTTGCCGCCTCCTGCAAAGCCTGACACCCAACCCGGCAGCCAAAATTTTGGGGCATTTTGGAGCATTTTGGGGCATTTTGGACCATTTGGGGGCATTTCCTTGCTGCCTCCTGCAAAGCCTCACACCCAGCCCAGCAGCCAAAATTTTGGGGCATTTTGGAACATTTTGGGGTATTTTTGGAGCATTTATTTGCTGCCTCCTGCAAAGCCTGACACTCAGCCCAGCCAAAATTTTGGGGCATTTTGGGCATTTTAGAGCATTTTGGAATGCTTCCCCAGCAGCCAAAATTTTGGGGTATTTTGCAGCATTTTCGACCATTTTGGACCGTTTTGGGGCATTTTAGAGCATTTTTGGAGCATTTCCTTGCTGCCTCCTGCAAAGCCTCACACTCAGCCCAGCAGCCAAAATTTTGGGGCATTTTGGAGCATTTTAGGAGCATTTTAGGAGCATTTCCTTGCTGCCTCCTGCAAAGCCTGACACCGAGCCCACAGCCAAAATTTTGGGGCATTTTCAACCATTTTTGAGTATTTTGGGGCATTTCCTTGCTGCCCCAGCCTCTCACACCCCCAAAATTTCAAGCCAGGGCTCAGGGCAAGAACCACAATCCATAAAAAGATGGAGCAGCTCCAGGAGGTGCCCCTGGTGGATCCAGCACCATCCCAAAATTGTGACCCCCAGGCACAGCTGGAGCTGCCCCATCCTCCCCCAGGGGCGCCAAGCAGGGATTTGCTCCCAAATTTTCCCTGCCCGAAGGGGTTTGGGAGCAGAGGGAGGAGAAAAAGCCACCCTGGAGCTGGGGACAGGGGAGACAGCCCAGAAATGCCTCTGGAGCTCGGGAGAGCTTTCCAAGTCAAAAAAAGGATTTGAATTTTATTTTTGGGGGGCAGAACAGGTATTTTGAGCAGCTGCCGAAAGATTCATGAACACAACCCCAGGCAGCGCTTCAGAAGTTGTTCCGGACCGCTTGGGGAAATTGGGATTTAAATTGGGATTGGAATTGGGATTTGAATTGGGATTTGAATTGGGATTTGAATCGGGATTTGAATCGGGATTTGAATCCAGCCTGGAAGGGAGCAGGGCTGAGATCAAAGGAGGCTCTGGAATATTCCAGGCGCTGCTCTCCCGGCCCCGAGTGGCGTTGGTGACACCGGCAGGGTCCCATGGGAAGTCCCCGAGCGTGTTTGGGTTGGCTGAGGGCCAGGGATGGGAAAAACTCCGGGATGGGAGGGAAAAAACAGCCCCGAGGGTGCGAACAGGTGGGGGAAAGGGAGGGGAAAAAGAGAAGGAAAACAGAAAAGAAAGGGGAAGATAGAAAGGGAAGGATGAAAAAAAAAAGGGAAGGGGAAAAATAAAAAGGGAAGGGAAAAATACAAATATAAAGGGAAGGGGGAAAAATAAAAAGGGAAAGGGAAAATAAAGGGGAAGGGGAGAAATAAAAAGGGAAGGGGGGAAAATAAAGGGAAGGGGGAAAAATAAAGGGATGGGGGTAAAAAGAGAAAAGTAAAAAGGGGAAAAGTAAAAGAAAAAGGGAAAGTTAAAAACGGGGAAAGTGAAGAAAAAGGGGGAAAGTGATAAAAACAGGGGGAAAGTAAAAGAAAAAGGGGAAAGTAAAAGAAAATGGGGGAAAGTAAAAGAAAACGGGGAAAGTAAAAGAAAAAGGGGAAAGTAAAAATAAAAGGGGGAAAGTAAAAATAAAAGGGGAAAGTAAAAATAAAAGGGGAAAAGTAAAAATAAAAGGGGGAAAGTAAAAATAAAAGGGGGGAAAGTAAAAATAAAAGGGAGGAAAGTAAAAAAATTGAGAAAATAAAAAAAGGGGGAAAGTAAAAACAAAACGGGAAAGTACAAAAAAAGAGAAAGTAAAGCAAAAAGGGGGGGAAGTACAAAAAGAAAGGGGAAAGTACAAAAAAAAAGGAGAAAGGGAAGGGAAAAAAAGAGAAGGGGGGCAAAAAGGGAAAGGGGAAAAAAGGGGGGAGGGAAACCAAGCAGCAATTCCCTCCCCAGCTGATATCGCAGGGATGTTTGTAAGGATTGGGAAAGGCGCTGAGCAGGAGCATCACCTCAGATAAAGGATTCCTAACAGGGAAAAAAAAAAGGGATTTTTCCCAGACAAATAATTCATGGAAGTCCCAAAACATCCGCCAGCTGCGGGAGCCTGGAATTTCCTGTCACCTTCCGAGCAAACCCGCCCGCTCCGAGCGCAGGGATTTGAAAATCCAGAGAGGAACGAGAAATGCAGGGGCTAAAACGAGCCGGATCAACACCCAGCGCCTCTGTCAGAGGCAAAAAATCCAAAAAATCCGCGTGGATGGAGCAGCTCCAGCTTTTCAGCCCCAATTTTCACATTTTGGGAAGCGAAAACCACACGGGGGAAGGAGCAGAACAACAACAGAACTCGGGATAAAGCTGTGGATGAACCCAGCTCGGAAACGCTGAAGGAATTTGTGGGGAGAGGAGAGAATTTGTGGTTTGGAGCCTCCTGCTCCTCCAGCAGGCCGGGGAGGGGCTGCCGAGCAGAAAATTTGATTTTGTGGCCCGTGGGTTGGATTTGCATGAAAACAGAGCGATCCCGAGGGGTTTGCAGGGAGAATTCGGGCAGGGAACGGAGATTTCCGAGCCGCAGGTGCGGGCAGGGAAGGGAAAGGGGAATTTGCTCGCCCATGCCGAGGGAAGGAGGGATCCCTGCAGCTCTGGGGGTGGAAGTTGCATTTCCAGGCCCTGATTATGCAGCAAGGCAGCGGCTCGGATGGGCAGAGCTGCTTTCGGAGCTGGTTTTATCAAGATCATCATTTCATCAAGGAAAACTCGCGGATTCGCGGCTTTTCCCCTGGCAGGGCCAGTCCTGCCACTCGCAGCTCATCCTCCCTCTGCTCAGGACGGGCTCTGAGGGGTTTTGGGGTCCCTCGCACCCTTCCAGGCTGGGGATTCACGTCTGAGGGGGAATCCTTGCAGATTCCCACAGGATGGAGCACCTCCGAGAGTTCCTGGGGGTTCAGTCTTGGGGGTTCCATTTTTGAGGCTCAATTTTTGGGGTTCAGTCCCGGGGATTCAATCCCAGGGGGTTCAGCCCTGAGGGTTCAACCCTCGGGGGTTCAGTCCTGGGGGTTCAACACTGGGGGTTCCATTTTTGGGATTCAGTCCTGGGGGTTCAATTTTTGGGGTTCAGTCCTCGCAGTTCAATCCCAGGGGATTCGATCCCAGGGGTTCAACCCTGGGGGTTCGATCCCGGGGATTCAATTTTTGGGCTTCGGTCCTGGGGGGCTCAACCCGGGGGTTCAGTCCTGGGGGTTCAATTCCGGAGATTCAATACTGGGTGTTCAATCCCGGGGGTTCAATCCCGGAGGGTTCAATCCTGGGGGTTTAATCCTGGGAGTTCAATTCCCAGGGGTTCAACCCTGAATGTTCAGTCCTAGGGGTTCCATTTTTGGGGTTCAATTCCCAGGGGTCAACCCTGAATGTTCAGTCCTAGGGGTTCCATTTTTGGGGTTCAGTTCCCAGGGGTCAACCCTGAACGTTCAGTCCTAGGGGTTCCATTTTTGGGGTTCAATCCCGGGGGGTTCAACCCTGAATGTTCAGTCCTAGGGGTTCCATTTTTGGGGTTCGATCCCGGGGGGGTTCAACCCTGGGTGTTCAGTCCTGGGGGTTCCGTTTTTGGGGTTCAACCCTGGGTGTTCAATTCCGGGGGTTCCATTTTTGGGGTTCAACCCCCTTTTCCCCGTGGAAATCTGAGCCGGGCTGAGCCAGAGCCGCTCTCCCGCAGCGGCCTGGGGTGAGTCAGGATTTTGGCGAGCCGGGCTGCGCGCTGGGTGCCCCACACCGTGAGAAAGGCAAACGCAGGGTGAGAGGAAGGGGAAAACCCTTCAGCCCGAGAGCGCTGTTTGCTTTGGCGGCCGCTCCTTCCCCCAGGAAGCGGCGCCGCGGTCAAGTGGGCGAGAGGAGCCGCAGCCCCCGGGAGGAGCGGGGCGAGACCCTCGGGGGTGCCCGGGGCTCCGCTGGGACCCCCCTGAAGCACGGCCGGGGCAGAGCCGCAGCTTCCCGCAGGCTGCGGGGGGAGCGGGGCCCGGCCCGGGCTGCGGAGAGACGGGAGCGGCGGCACCGGGGAGGAACCGGGGGAGGAACCGGGAATGCACCGGGAGCCGGGAATGCACCGGGGATACACCGGGGCTGCGGAGAGACGGGAGCGGCGGCACCGGGGAAGAACCGGGGGAGGCACCGGGGCTGCACCGGGCCGGAGATACACCGGGAATGCATCGGGGGAAGCACCGGGGATGCACCGGGAGAGGCACCGGGCCGGGAATGCATCGGGGGCTGCACCGGAGCAGGAATGCACCGGGGGCTGCACCGGGGATGCATCGGAGGAGACACCGGAGAGACACTGGGGCTGCACCGGGAGCTGCAACGGGGGCTGAACCGGACCGGGGATGCACTGGGGAAGGCACCAGGGACGAAATGCTCGGGGGCAGGGGATGCTCGGGGGTCCGTGAGGATGCGCCGGGAACGGATTGAAGGGGAGAGCACCGGAGGGGGAGGCAGCCGGCCCGGGCTGCGGGAAGCGGGGGCAGCTCCGGGACCGGCGAAAAACACGGCGGGGACACACCGGGAACGGAAAGGGACGCACCGGGAACAGAGAGGGACGCACCGAACCGGGGGGACACACGGACGGACGCACAGAACCCGGGGGGATACACCGAGGACGCCGAGGATGCACCGGGGACAGAGGATGCTCAGAGACCCCTCACGGTGACAGTGCCCCCCATGGGTGATCCTTACCAGCTTCCCGGAGCGCTCCCGAGCTTTCTTCACCTTCCCGTAGGTTCCCTTGCCCAGCGTTTCCAGGAACTCGTAGCGGTGCTTGAGGTTGTGCTTGTGGTGGTGCCGCTTCACCGCCTGCTTCTTCATCAGCGGCCGCGGCGATTTGATCAGCCCCTCGGCCAGCGAGGAACCGGGGCCGGCTCCGGGCCCTGCCGCCCGCTCCATCCCGATCCCGGCTCCGGCTCCGCCGCCTCCGAGCCCGGCCCGAGCGATAAAAGCGGCGGCGGCTCCGGCGGCCGCGCCCCCCCGCGCCCATTGGCGGCTGCCGGGGCCGCCCCGAGCGGGGCCGGGACGGGAACGGGGTGGGGAGGAACCGGGGAGACCCCCACGGGCAGCGCTGAGACCCCCACGGGCAGTGCTGGGATCCCCACGGGCAGCGCTGAGACCCCCACGGGCAGCGCTGGGAATGGGGAAACCACGGAGAAGGTGTGGGGGAGAGACGGGGAACACCTCAAAAAAATTGGAGTGAGGGAGGGGATGTGGAAAGGGGAGGAGAAGGAATCCAGGGGGCAAAGAGGGCACGGGGGTGAAATAGAGATGTGGAGAGGGGGGAAGAGGGAATCCAGGGCACAAAGGGGCTGTGGAGAGGGGGGTAGAAGGAATCCAGGGGGCAAAGGGGGGCACTGGGGTGAAATAGAGATGTGGAAAGGGGGGACAGAAGGAATTCAGGGCACAAAGGAGGGCACTGGGGTGTGGAGAGGGGGGGGAAGAGGGAATTCAGGGCACAAAGGGGGTGTGGAGAGGGGGGCAGAGGGAATCCAGGGGGCAAAGGAGGCCACGGGACCAAATCTCAGGGAAAAACTGCACCTAAACCCAGGGGAAAACTGCACCCAAGCCCAGGGAAAAATCACCCAAACTCAGGGAAAGCCTTCACCCAAACCCAGGGAAAAACTGCACCAAATCCCAGGGAAAAACTGCACCAAATCCCGGGGAAAAACTGCACCCAAACTCAGTGAAAAACTGCACCCAAACCCAAAGAAGAACTGTACCAAATCCCAGGGAAGAATTGCACCCAGATCCAGGGAAAAACTGCTCTCATACCCAGGAAAAAACTGCACCAAATCCCAAGGAAAAACTACAACGAAACCCAAGGAAAACTGCACCCAAACTCAGGGAAAAACTGCACCAAATCCCGGGGAAAAACTGCACCCAAACCCAGTGAAAAACTGTACCCAAACCCGGGGGAGGACTGCAGAAAAACCCAAGGGAAAAGTGCACCCAAACCCAGTGAAAAACTGCATTCAAACTCAGGGAAAAACTTCACCCAAACCCAGAGAGAAACGGCACCAAATTCCAGGGGAAAATGGCACCAAATCCTAGGGGAAAACTGCTTCCAAACCCAGGGAAGAACTGCACCAAATCCCAGGGAAGAACTGCACCAAATCCCAGGGAAGAACTGCACCAAATCCCAGGGGAAAACTGCACCGAATCCTAGGGAAAGACTGGACCAAATCCCAAGGAAAAATGGCCCCAAATGCCAGGGGAAGCCTGCACCAAATCCCAAGGAAAAACTATAACGAAACCCAACGAAAAATCGCCCAAACCCAGGTTAAAACTGCACCAAACCCCACGGAAAAACTGCACCCAAACCCAGGGGAAAAGTGCACCAAATCCCAGGGGAAAACCAGCCAAATCTCAGGAGAAAACTACCCAAACCCAGGGAAAAGCTGACATTTAAGGCAAAATATGGAAAGGAGAGGCCTGGGCGAGTGCAGCCTGTCCTCACTCTCCACAGAGCCCCCTTTGCCCTCCTGGACACACAATCTGTCAGGGAGGAACCAGAACATTCTCCAAGCCCTGAACCAGGGGAGAAACAGCAGCTGAGGCTCCTCAGGGCCACCCCAGCTCCCTCAGCACCACCTCCTCCCCGTGTGGTCTCCCTGCGGTAAACCTTCCTTTGCAGATATTAAAAGAATGCAATTATTTCCCAGAAGAGCTAAAACAAAGGCGCTTGCCGGGCTCTGGCCTGGGTGAGGACACCCTGGATCGATGGCAGACGGAGATAACTGCGGGATTACTCACCCAAACCTGGATTTTCCCACCGCTCCAGGCGAGCTCTGGCAGAGCAGGGGGTCCCAAACGATGATTTAAACCCTGGCTCCTGTCTGCGGGTTTTGGAGGTGACGCAGAGGTGACAAAGAGCGACACAGAGTGACACAGGACGGAGCTCACAGCGCCTCGGGGCTGTCAGGACAGAGCCAGGTGGGTGGCAGTGTCCCCTGGCTGGTTTTGTCACCGGGGTGAGGTTATACAGTGACCTTTTGAGAGATGCCCCTCAGGGAAGGTGGGACCCCAAGTCATGGGCGCAGCCTTGCACCAAACTGCTCCCCACGGCTGTCACCTGTCCCACACACATTAAATGTAATTTTGGTACCATTGGGCCACTCTCTGTGGATGTCACCTGTCCCAGTATGGTCCCACATACATTAAATGTGATTTTGGTACCATTGGGCCACTCTACATGTCTGTGACCAGTACCAGTGATGTCCCACACACATTAAATGTCATTTTAGTAAATTGGGCCACTCTCCATGGTTGTCACCTGTCCCAGACACATTAAATGTGATTTTGGTACAGTTGAGCCACTCTCTGTGGATGTGACCAGTACCAGCACTGTCCCACATACATTAAATGTCATTTTGGTACCCTTAGGCCACTCTCTGTGGATATGACTGGTACCAGCACTGTCCCACACACATTAAATGTCATTTTGGTACCCTTAGGCCACTCTCCAAGGGCTGTCCCCTGTCCCAGTGTGGTCCCACAATCATTAAATGTCATTTTTGTACCATTGGGCCACTCTCCAAGGCTGTGACCAGTACCAATGCTGTCCCACACGCATCAAATATAATTTTGATACCATTGGGCCACTCTCCCTGTCTGTGACCAGTACCTATGCGGTTCCACACACATTAAATGTCATTTTGGTACAACTGGGCCACTCTGACTGTCACCTGTCCTAGTACTGCCCCACATGCAGAAATGTCATTTTTATACCATTGGGTCTCTCTCCATGGCTGTCGCCTGTCCCAGCAGGGTCCCACACATATTAAATGTGATTTTGGAACCATTGGGCGCACTCTCTGTGGCTGTCACCTGTCCCAGCAAGGTCCCACACACATTAAATGCAATTTTTATACCGTTGGGCCCCTCTCCATGGCTGTGATCAGTACCAATGCAGTCCCACACACATTAAATGTCACATTGGTACCATTGGGCCACTCTCCATGGCTGTGACTGGGTACCAGCACTGTCCCACATGCATAAAATGTGATTTTGGTACCATTGGGCCACTCTCCATGGCTGTCACCTGTCCCAGCATGGTGTCACATGTATTAAATGTCATTTTGGTACCATTGAGCCACTCTTCATGGCTGTTGCCAGTCCCAGCACCGTCCCACACGCATTAAATGTGATTTTGGTACAATGAAGACACCCAAGTCCCTTCCCCTGCCACTGTCACTGATTGTTATGGCCACCTCGGTTCCTCAGCTCCAGGCTGCTCCCTCCCACCTCCAACCCTCCCCGAGCTCAACAAACCAGGCACAAATCTCTCTCTGCTCATCCTAAAATCATCCCGGGACATCCGAAGGCGATCCGGGCTGCACCAATCGCGATAATGAATCGTGATAACGGATTGTGATAAAGAACGGGCGATAATGAGCGGCGCTAATGAATTGTGGTCATGAATTATTTACACAGAGCAGCAACAGGAGCCGTTTCCAAGGCCACGGGGAAGATAAACACGGCGGGAGGAGCTGAGCTGAACCCGAGTGCCGCAATTTCAGCCTCAAAGCAAACAGGATCCTGTCCGGGCACGGCTCAAACCTCCCTGGCTGCGGCCAGCAAAGGGATTGAGGGGAAAATGTCACTGTCGCTGTCGTGGGATTGTTAAAAATACCTCAGAACCTCTTGTAAAATAATTGATAATTGTTATGGAGTGTTGTTAGTTTGATTGTTATATTGTAAAAGGGGTTTAAAGGGTGGTTGTAAGAAATTACATCTCAGCAAAGTGCAGCACCTGCCAGGGCCAGCCTGGACTGAGCTGTAATGGCCAATCAAGGCCTGAAACCTTCGTGCAAATGAAAATGCCACTGTCGCGTTAAAAATAGCTTAGCAACTGTTGTAAAATAATTGATCATTGTTATTGAGTGCTGTTAGTAGGGGTTATTATATTGTAAAAGGGGTTAAAAGGTGGTTATAAGAAATTACACCTCAGCAAAACGAGCCGGCCTGGACTGAGCTGTAAGGGCCAATCAAGGCCTAAAACCTTCATGCAAATGAAAATGTCACTGGGATTGTTAAAAATAGCTTAGAACCTGCTGTAAAATAATTGATAATTGTTATTGAGCGCTGTTAGTTCAGTTGTTATATTGTAAAAGAAGTTTAAAGGGGAATTATGAGAAATTACACCTCAGCAAAGTGCAGCATCTCCCAGAGCTGGCCTGGACAGAGCTGTAAGGGCCAATCAAGTCCTAAAACCTTCATGCAAATGAAAATGTCACTGGGATTGTTAAAAATAGCTTAGAACCTGTTTGTAAAATATTGATCATTGTTATTGAGCGCTGTTAGTTGGCTTATTATATTGTAAAAGGGGTTTAAAGGGTGGTTATAAGAAATTACACCTCAGCAAAGTGCAGCACCCCCTCAGTGAAAGGAGCCCGGCCTGGACAGAACTGTAAGGGCCAATCAAGGCCTGAAACCTTCATGCAGATGAAAGATCCAAACAGAAACCAATCCAGAGGGACACAAACAGGATAAAAAGCGACATCTGAGCCAGGGGAGCTGTGCCCTTCCCCTGGGACATCGGGGACATTGCTGCTGCAGCATCCTCAGTGGGAGCGCTCCTGCTCGCTTTGGGCCTTTCTTTTTGTTGTAATAAATTCTGAAATCACATTTAGTACCCCTTGTTTTAGGCCTTTCTTTTATTACAATAAATTCTGAAACCACTTTTAGCACCGTTGTTTTAGACCTGTCATTTTATTAGAATAAATGCTGAAATCACTTTTAATAAATAAATAAATAAATGCTGAAATCACTTTTAGTACCCTTTAGCTTTAGGCCTTTCTTTTTATTATAGTAAGTGCTGGAATCACTTTTAGCATGCCTTTCTTTAGGCTTTTCTTTTTATTAGAATAAATGCTGAAATCACTTTTAATAAATAAAATAAATAAATATAAATGCTGAAGTCACTTTTAGCACCGGGAATGTGCTCCCGTCTTTTTACCAGGATCTCTCCAGCCCCGTGTTTGGGGTCCCAGTGGATTTCTCGGGATGCTTTTCCGAGGTTTCCCCCGTTGTGCAAAGGCCCCGCAGCCCCGTGGAGTTTCTGTTCCCAGCGGATAAATTCCTCCCAAGGATTCCGTGCTGCTGTGGGAGGGGATGTTTGTTCCAGGGCTTTATTCAGGAAGCCTTTCCCATTTTCATGGAAATGCCAAGGGACGCGGAGGGAGCCCGCTGGAATCCGCTGATAAGGATCCCCCATTGTGGCAGCGCCCGCCGCTTTCTCCGCTGGGGGAAATCCACCGAAATTCCCCTGGAAAACCCAACCCGGGCTTGTCCCGCGGCCCCACTGCGTGTCCACCAAAACCAGCCTGAAATCCAGCCAGGAATTTGGCTCCGTGTCAGGGAAACCTGCTCAGAGCTCAGCTTGGTGCTCGGTCACAGCTCTGTCTGCTTGCAGGCTGCAAAATTTATATTCATTAATTTATTACATGAAAATAAATTCTACAGCGTTTTCCTGGCTCTGAAAACTTCCACATCCCGGCCAAACCTTGTGGCTCTGCCTCGGGATTGGGTGGGCACAGGCTGTGTTTGTGGGCCGGGAAAGGAATAAACATCATGAAAGAGATTCCCTCAGCAGGGAGGCCTCCCACGGGGAAAGGAAGAGTCATTAAAATGCCAGAGACAACAAAAAGTTTAATGCTCGGCCCTCGTTCCTGAGCCCCAGCATTCCTCACCTGCTGCCGGGGGGTGCTCAGGGAGGTGTGAAACACATTTCCCCCCATTTTCCCTCTGAAAACCCCGGGGAAAGCCGGGAATGCTCTGATCCTCCCCATCCATCAGCAGGAGAAGGGAAACTCATCAGCGCCGCTGGGAGCCTGTGGAAAAGTCATTTGTGGCCTTTCATGGATGGTGAGAGAGGCAGAGGCCACCCCAGGAGTGCAGCTGGGGGTTCCATCTGTCCGTCCATTCATCATTCATCCATCCATCCATGGATCCATCCGTCCATCCATCCATCCATCCATCCATCCATCCATCCATCATCCACCCACCCATCATTGATCCAGCAATCCATGGATCCATCCTTCATTCATCTATGCATCCATCCATCCATCCATCCATCCATCCATGGATCCCTCCATCCCAATTTTTCCAGTAAACCACTCCTCCAATGCTCCCTTTACCACAAGTCCATCCCTCAGGTGTCCCTGTCACCCTCTTGGGCACTGGGGATGTCACAGCACATGGGGCTGCAGAAACCCCGAGGCATTTGGAGGAAAAAGAAGAATTCCCCTCAAAAAAACCCCAAAACCTCCAGAAAAAAATCCACAAAAAATGCAGAAAAAAACCCCACAAAAAGCCCACAAAAAAAGCTGGAGCTTTTATTTTCCGACCAGGAAGCGTCTGTGTCTCAGGATGGTGACTCCACATCCGCTCCAGCGCCGGCAGATTCCCCAGGAATGGGAACATCTGGGGGTGACCTCACTGCTGGTGGCCCCACAGGGCTGGGGACATCCCAAGGATGAGGGTGGCAGTGACAGAGTGATCCCAGAGCTCATTCCCAGCTCTCCAGAGCGGAATTCCCAGCCGGAGCTGGAGCAGCGCTCACACAACCCCACATGGGGCTCCTTTTGGGAACTGCCACCACAAACTGACCCCAAAAAGCAGCATTGACCCCAAAAAGCAGCACTGACCCCAAAAATATTGTCCCCACCAGCCAGGGCCAGCCCAGCAGTGTGTCCTGGGCCCATGGCAAGGTGCAGGAATCGTTTCTGCTCCACCCCATCCTTTGGAAGCTGCTCCTTGAGGAAGTTTCCTGTTTGTGCAGACAGAGTCTGCTCGGGGACGATAAATGAGGATTTTTGGCAGCAGGGCCAGCTCAGCCCTCAGCCTCTGTGCTGGAGCAGCCGCCGGGGCTGAAAATCCTCTCAGAACTCCGAGTGTGGGGAGTTCAGCTGAGGACACGGCCGGATTTTTTTGTCACTGGAAAACTCCAAATGCTTGGCTGGGTTGGGATAAATGAGGGGGCACGGAGGGTCCTGGGGACAGAGGGGCCATCCCAGGGCTTCCTGCAGCCCCACAGGGCCAGGTTGGTGCCAAACCCAAAATTTATTTAGGGAAAGGAGCTCTGGGACCCTCTCATCCCAAGGGATTCACTGCAGAGCTGCAGCAGGACCCAGCACTGGAGGCATTTCCTGGGCAGCAGCATCAGAGACTCTTCGGACCCAAACCCAGCCCTGTCCCAGCTTCTGGACCCAAATCCAGCCCTGTCCCAACTCCTGGACCCAAATCCAGCCCTGTCCCAGCTCCTGGACCCACATCCAGCCCTATCCCAGCTCCTGAACTCAAATCCAGCCCTGTCCCAGCTCCTGGACCCACATCCAGCCCTATCCCAGCTCCTGAACTCAAATCCAGCCCTGTCCCAACTCCTGGACTCAAATCCAGCCCTGTCCCAGCTCCTGGACCCAAATCCAGCCCCGTCCCAACTCCTGGACCCAAACTCAGCCCTGTCCCAGCTCCTGGACCCAAATCCAGCCCCGTCCCAACTCCTGGACCCAAACTCAGCCCTGTCCCAGCTCCTGGACCCAAATCCAGCCCTGTCCCAGCTCCTGGAGGGTGTTTGGGCTCCTCGGGGGTGTCTTTCTACGGGAATAAAATACTGGAGGAGACGCGCAGCATCCAAGTGATTTGTTGGGTGTTGCAGCAGCTGAAATGGGATTTTAGAGCCGCGCTGGTCCAGCGCCACCCGGGCAGGGCAGCCCGGGACAGCGGGAGGTGCTGCTGCAGCCGCAGCTCGGCCCAGGGATGCCATCTGCTGTTCGCAGCTCTGGGAGGAGACCTGGGGCTCACCCAGCCTAAACCAAACCGTCCCAAACTGCTGAGATCCTCAAGGATGCCATCTGCTGTTCACAGCTCCGGGAGGAGCCCAAACCAAACCACCCCAAACTCGCTTAAATCCTCAAACTCGCCCTGCAGGCACAGCCAGGAGCGCCCGAGCCACCCGAACTGGGCTCAGGGCACATCTCTGGCACCTGGAGTGCCAAAAACAGGGATAGGTTCCAATCAGGAGTCAGAGAGGCACAGGGGCCTGTTCCAGGTGGGATCCCCACTCAGGAAGGTTCCAATCACGAATCAGACAGGCACAGGGCCCTGTTCCAGGTGGGATCCCCACTCAGGAAGGTTCCAATCAGGAGTCAGAGAGGCACAGGGGCCTGTTCCAGGTGGGATCCCCACTCAGGAAGGTTCCAATCACGAATCAGACAGGCACAGGGCCCTGTTCCAGGTGGGATTCTCATTCAGATGTGTTCCAATCATGAGTCAGACAGGCACAGGGCCCTGTTCCAGGTGGGATCCCCATTCAGATAGGTTCCAATCATGAGTCAGACAGGCACAGGGCCCTGTTCCAGGTGGGATCCCCATTCAGATAGGTTCCAATCATGAGTCAGACAGGCACAGGGCCTCCACGGCCGTGCTGAGCCCCTGGCTGACGCCCCCCACGGCCAGCAGGCAGTCCCTCAGCACGATGCTGGAGCAGGCGCAGCGCGGGGTGGGCATGGGGGGGAGGCTCTCCCACTTGTTCTTCTCGGGGTGGAAAGCCTCTGCTGACTCCAGCACGCTCGGCTGATTCCCTGGAAGCACAAAAGGAGGCGCTGGATGATCTGGGAAGCACCACGGAGCTTCTCTTGGCTGCTCTGACCCCATCCCATCACCGGGTTAGTTTTCCCTGCTCCCTCCCACCAGCCAGCATTGGGATTTCTCCTTTTTTTGGGGGGGATGACAACAATCCCAACTCTTTTTTAAAGGGTTCCCAGGGTCCCAGAGCCTCACCCAGGCCCCCGGCCACCACAACTCTGCCTCGCAGGTAGCCGGCCACGAAGTCTGCTCGCCTTTTCTTCAGGTAGCAGGAGCGCTCCATCTTCATCCAGCCACCTGGGAGGACAGGACACGCTGGGCTTGTGGGGTCACCCACTCCTGGGAAGGCACCCACCCCTCTGGGTGGAAGGGGAGTTTGGCTGCTGCACCTTGGGGTGATAAAACCCCATGGGGTGGTTGGGTCTGGCCCTTGTTATCCCACTGGATCCACATGGGATTGGGGTGTTCCCATTGCACTCGGTAATCCTGACTGGGAATCGTCCTCTAAGCTGAGCTCAAGGCAGCAGCAGATGGGAGCTCTGTGATTTGCAAGGGTGGCAGAGCCCTAAAACCCAGCCCTGTGTGCCCCAACCCCAAACCCAGTCCTGTGTGTCCCTAAACCCAGTCCTCTGTGACCACAAACCCCAAACCCAGCTCTGTGTCCCCAAACCCAGCCTTGTGTGTCCCCAAAACCAGATCACTGTCCCCAAACCCCCAACCCAGCCCTAATATGCCCCAAACCCAGTCCTGTGTGTCCCCAAACCCATCCCTGTGACCCCAAACCCAACCCTATGTGCCCCAAACCCCAAACTCATCCCTGTGACTCCAAATCCATCCCTGTGAGACCCCAAACCCCAAATCCATCCCTGTGTGCCCCAAACCCATCCCTTTGTCCCCAAAGCCCTCGGGAAGGTCCATGGCCGGTCCAGCTCCCACCTTGCTCCAGGTCGAAGACGTCCACAGTCCTCATGAACTTGGGCTGGCGGTAGAGCCGGCCCTGGCGCAGCCCCCCGAGGCTGAAGAGCTTCTCCTCGGTGGGCACGAAGCTGGAGAAGGCTCTTTTGGTGGGAATGTTGGGGAACCTGGTCCAGGAGCGCGTGTCCGTGTCGAAAACCTCGAAGGCGTTGACGGCGTACTTGGATTGCCTTCCCCCTGTGGAGGGAGTTGGAGAGGAGGGAATTGAAATGGAGGGGGAATTGGAGAGGGAATTGAAATGGAAAAGGAATTGAAATGGAGAGGGAATTAGAAAAGAGTGAATTGAAAATGAGAGGGAATTGGAATGGAGAGGGAATTGGAAAGGAGAGGGGATTGGAATTAAGAGGGAATTGTGAAGGAGAGGGAATTGGAAGGGAAAGGGAGTTTGAAAGGGAGAGGGAATTGAGATGGAGAGGGAGTTGGAAAGGAGGGAATTGGGAAGGAGAGGAAATTGAAATGGAAAAGGAATTGGAAAGGAGAGGGAATGAGAAAGGAGAGGAAGTTGGAATGGAGAGGGAGTTGGAATGGAGAGGGAAGTGGAAAGGAGAGGGAGTTGGAGGAAGAGAAAGGATGCAAAATGAAGCAAAAGAAAAAAGTGAAGGAGAAGGAAGGAGAAGGAAGGAGAAGGAAGAAAAAGGAAGGAAAAGTAAGGAAAAGGAAGGGAAAGGAAAGGGAAGGAGAAAGAAGAAAACAGAAGAGAAAGGAAGGAAAAGGAAGGAGGAGAAAGGAAGGAGAAGGAAGAGAGGAGGAGGCAGGGCTGCCCCTTACCCAGCACGTAGATCTTGGAGCCCCTCAGGATGGACGTGGCCGCGTAGCGGGGGGTGGGCATGGCAGCCAGGGACACCCAGATGTCCTTGAGCACGTCATAGTGCTGCAGGAAGTTGTGGGGCCGCAGGTCCGAGCCCATGCCGCCCGCTGCGTACACCCTGTAGTCTGGACAGGGCAAAAATCCCCCAAAATCCCATTAAATTATTGGGATAATAAATTATTGTAGGAAAGCACCAGAAATCCATTCCCCCTTCTGCATACACCTTGTAATCTGGGTGGAAAACTCTTGCCTTTGGCCACCACCGAGATGCTCAGAACTTTTTAGGTGTCCTGGCACAGAACTTTTTTGGGGTCTCCCCATCAGGAGAAGTGTTCCTCAATCTATTATTCTTCTATATCAAAACCTGCTTCCACCTCTATTCCACCCTCAGGCTCTCCATTCTGTAACCTTCCTGCCATCTCTGAAACTTCCTTGCCAAACTTTCCATCTTTCCAACTAACACTTGACTTTTCCACCACCAAGATGCCCATGGCGGCCTCGCAGAGCGAGCTGTGCTTCAGGGAAACTTTCCACAATCTATTATTCTATATCAAAACCTGCTTCCACCTCTTTTCTGCTCTTAACTTCTACATTCTGAGACCTTCCTTCCATCTGTGAAACTTCCCAAGCTTTCCATGAGCTTTTTAGGCATCTTCCGATCAGGGTGATCCTCGGGGAAGCTTTCCACAATCTGTCATTCTTCTACATCCAAACCTGCTTCCACCTCTATTCCACCCTCAGCTTCTACATTCTGAAACCTTCCTGCCATCTGTGAAACTTCCTTGCCAAACTTCTCATCTTTGGAAAAGATGGAAAACACTTGCCTTTGGCTGCCACCGAGATGCCCATGGCCGCCTCGTGGAGCGAGATGCACTTTGGGGAATCTTTCCATTATCTTATTATTCGTCTATATCAAAACCTGCTTCCACCTCTTTTCTGCTCTTAACTTCTACATTCTGAGACCTTCCTGCCAGCTGTGACACTTCCCAAACTTTCCCTCTTTCCCAACACTTGCCTTTGGCCACCACTGAGATGCCCATGGCCACCTCGCAGAGTGAGCTGCACTTCAAGGAAGATTTCCACAATCCATTATTCCATATCAAAACCTGCTTCTACCTCTTTTCTGCTCTTAACTTCTGCAGAGAACTTCCTTCCATCTGCGAAACTTCCTTGCCAAACTTTCCATCTTTCCCACTTCCCAACACTTGCCTTTGTCCACCACCGAGATGCCCATGGCCACCTCGGAGAAGCTTTCCACAATCTATTATTCTCCTATATCAAAACTTACTTCCACCTCTATTCCACCCTCAGCTTCTACATTCAGAGACCTTCCTGCCAGCTGTGAAACCTCCCAAATTTTCCCTCTTTCCCACACTTGCCTTTGGCCGCCACCGAGATGCCCATGGCCGCCTCGCAGAGTGAGCTGCACTTCAGGGAAGATTTCCACAATCCACTATTCTATATCAAAACGTTTTTCCACCTCTATTCCACCGTCAGTTTCTGCATTCAGAGACCTTCCTGCCAACTGTGAAACTTCCCAAATTTTCCCTCTTTCCCAAAACTTGCCTTTGGCCGCCACGGAGATGCCCATGGCCGCCTCGTGGAGCAAGCTACGCTTTGAGGAAGTTTTCCACAATCTATTATTCTTCTGTATCAAAACCTGCTTCCACCTCTATTCCACCCTCATCTTCTACATTCTGAGACCTTCCTGCCAGCTGTGAAGCCTCCCAAATTTTCCCTGTTTCCCAACACTTGCCTTTGGCCGCCACCGAGATGCCCATGGCCGCCTCGCGGAGCGAGCTGCGCTTCCTCCAGCGCCCCTCGTCCGTGTTGTACATCTCCACCACCTTCAGCGGCAGCTGGTTGGCGCCCACGCCGCCGATCACCATGATCCTCTTGCCCAGCACGGTGACGGCCACGCCGGCCCTGGCCGTGGGCATGGCGGGCAGCGCTGCCCACTGGTCGGCCTCGGGCGAGTAGACCTCGAAGGAGTCCACGGCGACGCCGTTGTCGTCGCAGCCGCCCACGGCGAACACCTGCCCGCCCGCCTCCACCAGCGTGGAGTAAACCCTGCGGCTGGGCAGCGGCGCCAGGGACTTCCACTGGAAGTCTTTGGTGCTGGGCAGCTCCATGGTGGGGTTGGTGCTGGAAAAAAAGAGAATTCCGGAATTGTTGAGGGTGGAAAAGTTCACCAGGATCGGCCAAGTTGTGCCACTGAGTGCCACATCCAGGAATTCCTTGGACGCCCCCAAACCCCCCTGGGCAGCCCCTTCCGGTCCTTTCCATGAGGAAATTCCTGCTGATGTCCAACCTGAGCCTCCCCAGCCCAGCCTGAGGCCGTTCCCTCTCCTCCTGTCCCTGTTCCCTGGGATAAGATCCCAAATCCCCCCCGGCTGTGCCCTCCTGGCAGGAGTTGTGCAGAGCCAGAAATTCCCCCTGAGCCTCCTTTGCTCCAGGCTGAGCCCCTGCCCAGCTCCCTCAGGACTCTCCAAACCCTTCCCAGCTCCCTCAGGATTCTCCAAACCCTTTCCAGGATTCTCCAAACCCTTCCCAGCTCCCTCAGGATTCTCCAAACCCTTTCCAGGATTCTCCAAACCCTTCCCAGCTCCCTCAGGATTCTCCAAACCCATCCCCATCTCCATTCCCTTCCCTGGACTCGCTCCAGCCCCAAAATGTTCCTCCTGAACTGAGGGAAAATCCCAGAGTGCAAACCCCACCCTGGCAGGAGCAGAGCAGGACCAGAGCTGCCCTGCCACTGCCATCTGTCCCCTGTGCCACCCCCAGAGCGCCACTGTCGCCTGTCCCCTGTGTCACCGCCACCCCCCCCGAGCAGCATCGCCACCTTTCAGCGCCTCTCCATCAATCCCGCGGCTCCGGAGCCGCCTCAGCAGCTCACGCAGAGACCGAGCCTAAAAATAAAACAGAACAGGAAGAGGTGAGAAAACAAAAAACAAAGAAAAAAAAAACACAAAAAAAAAAAAAGGAAAAACCAAAACCCAAGCCAGGCGAGAAGGTTGGAGTCAGTTTGTTCTGCTGCTTCCCCACCCGCAGGCGACTCCAAACCAGGCTCTGCTCCTTCCATCCCTGTTTTCCTGCCGGCTGGGGAGCTTTTCCTGCTCTCCCCCACCGGATTCCTCCTCCTGACCTTCCTCTCATCCCCACCCTGAGGAACGCGAACCCCGGCTCTGCAATCCCGGGGCAGCGGGCTGGGAACGCGCGGTCATTGCTCCATCTCCTCTGTCCTTCATTAAGCGCCATGCAGATGAGCTTAATTAGCGAGAGAGGGCGAAGGGAGAGGGACAAGGAAGGAAAAACCCTCCCCACCCTTCCCACCCAACCCCGAGCCTCCATAAAATCTGATTAATCCGAGCAGGGCTGTTTGTTTTTATTATTATTTATCATCCCAAATAAATGTTCAGGAGCGCACTAAACATCATTTACTGCACGAGGAATTAATAAATAAATGGAGAAATCTTGCTTGGGCATGAGGAATTAATAAATAAACGGAGAAATCCTGCTTGGGCATGAGGAATTAATAAATAAACGGAGAAATCCTGCTTGGGCTGCCACCCTCCAGCAGCAGGACCTGCTGTGGGCCCATCCACAATTCCCGGGCCAATTCCTGGAAATTCCTGGGTCCAGGAGGACAAAGGGACACTCAGAATCCAAGGAGAAACCTCGAGCAGCAGCCCAGACTGCTCTGCCCTCCCTGAGCAGCATCCCCAGGATTTGTGCCCTGGCAGATCCAGAATTCTGCCCCTTTGGATGATTGATTTCCTTTCCAGGTGAATTTTCATGGATAAATTCGCCCTGGGCTGGCTAATTAGCAAAGCAGAGCCAGGTCCTGTTTCCGGGAGCTCGATGGATTTGTGTCCAAGGAATTTCAGCTCCTGTTTCCAGGAGCTCGATGGATTTGCTTCCAGGCATTCCTGACCTCCATTCCTTCAAATCCAAACTGCTGGGATGAGACACAACCAGCGCCACCCCAGTTCCTGACAGCAGCAGAACCTGGCTGGGCCAGGCAATTTCTCCATCCAAATTTCTCCATCCCACAAGGAGCTCACAGGAGCGGGATTTTGGATCCTTTGGAGCCGATTCCCAAAATTCCTTTCCCTGCATCCCACAAGGAGCTCAGAGGAGCGGGATCTTGGATCCTTTGGAGGCAATTCCCAAAATTTCTTTCCCTGCAGCTCTGGGATCAGCCGGGTTCTGGGAGTGAAAGGAACAGCCCCCAAATTTCTGCTCCTGCATCCTACAAGGAGCTTGGAGGGGCAGGATTTTGGATCCTTTGGTGCTGATTCCCAAAATTTCTTTCCCTGCGTCTCACAAGGAGCTCGGAGGAGCAGGATTTTGGGTCCTTTGGAGCCAATTCCCAAAATTTCATTCCCTGCATCCTACAAGGAGCTCACAGGTGTGGGATTTTGGATCCTTTGGAGCCAATTCCCAAAATTTTGCTCCTGCATCCTACAAGGAGCTCACGAGGAGCGGGATTTTCGATTCTTTGGAGCTGATTCCCAAAATTCCACTCCTGCATCCTACAAGGAGCTCGGAGGAGCAGGATTTTGGACCCTTTGGAGCCAATTCCCAAAATTTCTCTCCCTGCATCCCACAAGGAGCTCACAGGAATGGGATTTTGGATCCTTTGGAGCCCATTCCCAAAATTTCTCTCCCTGCATCCCTCAAAGAGCTCACAGGAATGGGATTTTGGACCCTTTGGAGCCAATTCCCAAAATTCTCCTCCCTGCAGCTCAGGGATCAGCCGGGAGTTCTGGCAATGAAAGGAACAGCCCCGGCAGCTGGGAATGAAAGGAACAGGCTCGGAATTATCAGCCGGGGATTCCTGACCCCCGCTCCCCGCCTCAGCTCCCTCGCCATAGTAACAACCACCCGGAGCACCACAACAACAACAACAGAACCTCCCCGCTTCCCCGCCTCTGCCTGGAAAAAAACCGGCAAAAAAAGAGCGAAAATATCGGGATAGGAAGGGATTTCACGGTGTGGGGCAGAGCAGCGCTCTGAGCTGTGTTGTACCCCACATCCCGAGCATCCTTTGGGGTGCGGGAGGGTCTGGTTTCACCCCTTCCCCCATCCCGGTCCCTCGGGAGCCTCTCCAGGCTCCTCCTGGCAGCTGCGATCTCCTGATGGGAGGGACAGGGCTTGTGGAAGGAAATATTCCTGTCAGGAACCCAATATTTCCTGACACACCGGCGTCAGGGGTGTCACAGCTCCGGGGCGGGGGGGAAAACCTGCTTTGTTTTTTGAAAGAGCTCAAATCATCCTTTATTAAATCCTGAGTGGGGTGAAAAATCAGCAGAGGAAGGTGAGGTTTGCTCGTGTCACAGCTGAGCTCGGGAGTTTGAATTTAATATGAATAATTTAATTTAAATAATTTAATTCAAATAATTTAATTCAAATAATTTGATTTAATTTAATTCAAGAGCCAGGACTCACCTGCCAGGGCAAAGGGTTTCCTTTCCCCACCCAGCTCCATCAGGATCCTAAATCCCCTTTCTTGTCCCCAAAATCTCCCTCTGCCCCAGCAGCACGGGGCAAACACAGAAAGGCTTTTCCAAGCCCTCGCGTTGTGTTTCCAGAGCTCTTTTTTCTCTTTATTTCAGCTGTGGAGGGAACGGGAAGAGCTCGGGCCGGATCACAGCTGGGGGAGGTCACAGCGACCCCATCCCTGCCGGGCCTGGTCTGGGAGAAAGGCTGGAAAATGGGAACGGGGATGCTGGGAGGCAAAAAGCTGAAAATTTGGGATATTTTGCGGAAAAAAAGTACGGGAAAACCCATATTTTTCCACAAAAAGTAAGGAAAAAAAAATATTGTTTTCTACCCAATTTTTGGAAGAGAAACACAAACTCCAAGCTTTGTTTGTGGCTGTTCCTGAAAAGCCTGGGAGGACACAGGATCCCGAAGCATCTCCCTCCCAAACGACCTCCAGGGAGGAATTCCCTCCCCTCCCTCCTTCCTTTCCCCAGGATTTCTCGGGAATACTCACAGCTCATGGCTGGAAATGCTCCGGATTCTCCCAAACCCTCCGAGCATCCCCTTCCTCCCACTCCCCGCCGGGCTGCGAGCGGCGCCGGGAGCAGCCAGGGCTGGGATTTACTGCGTGGGAAGAGAAAAGGGGAGGAAAATAAATAAATAAATAAAAAATTAAAATAAATCCGCGTAAATCCAGCGGCGCTGCTGTTCCCCGTGTGGAAGATGTAGGACGCTGAGGGCGGGGAGGGTTTCCCCAGCTGGGCTCCTCCTCGGGGCTGTGCGTGCGAATTCCCGGCGTTCCCGATCCATCCCTGAGCCTTTTATGGCTCCCCACGCTCGCACAGGATGTTCTGGAACGGCCGCGCTGCCCGCCCTAAAAAGGCACCGCAGGAATTGTGACAAAAATCGGGAAAGCCGGAGCTGGGAGGAGAAAGAGGTGTCTGGGGAGGGATGGGTGGGTCCACAAGGGAAGAGCCCATCCCGTGGATGTCACCCAAAAATGGGAGAAACGGGCAGGGCGAGGGCGGCTTGGGGTGGTAGAACCCCAAAATTCTGCTCCTGCGTCCCACAGGGAGGTTGGAGGAGCGGGATATTGGAGCCTCTGAAACCAATTCCCAAAATTCTGCTCCTGCATCCCGCAGGGAGCTCACGGGAGTGGGATGTTGGAGCCTCTGGAGCTGATTCCCAAAATTTCTTTCCCTGTATCCCACAGGGAGCTCGGAGGACTGGGATGTTGGAGCCTTTGGGGCCAATTCCCAAAATTCTGCTCCCTTTACCCCATGAGCTTGGAGGAACAGGATGTTGGAGCCTCTGGAGCTGATTCCCAAAATTCTGCTTCCCATATCCCACAGACTTGGAGGAGTGGGATGCTGGAGCCTGTGGATTCCCAAAATTCTGCTTCCCACATCCCATAAGGAGCTTGGAGGAGCAGGATATTGGAGCCTTTTGAGTTGATTTCCAAATTTCTGCTCCTTCATCCCACAAGAAGCTCACAGGAGTGGGATTTTGGACCCTTTGGAGCTGATCCCCAAAGGAGCTCGGAGGAAAGGGATGTGGGAGCCTTTGGGGCCAATTCCCAAAATTTCCCTCCTACATCCCACAGGGAGCTTGGAGGAGCAGGATATTGGAAACTTAGGAAGTGATTCCCAAAATTCTGCTCCTGCATCCCACAGGGAGCTTGGAGGAGCGGGATGTTGGAGCCTCTGAAACCAATTCCCAAAATTTCTTTCCCTGTATCCCACAGGAGCTTGGAGCAGGGGGATGCTGGAGCCTTTGGAGCTCATTCCCAAAATTTCTCTCCCTGCATCCCACAAGGACCTCACAGGAGCAAGATATTGAAGCCTTTGAAGCCAATTCCCAAAACTTCTTTCCCTGGATCCCACAAGGAGCTCGGAGCAGGGGAATGCTGGACCCTTTGGAGATGATTCCCAAAATTCTGCTCCTTCATCCCACAAACTCAGACTGGGATGCTGGAACCTGTAGATTCCCAAAATTCTGCTCCTGCATCCCAAAAGGAGCTTGGAGAAGTGGGATGTTGGAACCCTTGGAGCTGATTCCCAAAATTCTGCTCCCTTCAGCTCCCACATCCCACAGGGAGCTTGGAGCAGAGGGATATTGTAGCCCTTAGAGCCGATTCCCAAAATTTCTTTCCCTGTATCCCACAAGGAGCTCGGAACAGGGGAATGCTGGAGCCTTCGGAGCCAATTCCCAAAATTCTACTCCCCACATCCCACAAATTCAGAGGAGTGGGATGTTGGAGCCCTTGGAGCTGATTCCCAAAATTTCTTTCCCTGTATCCCACAAGGAGCTCAGAGCAGGGGAATGCTGGACCCTCTGGAGCTGATTCCCAAAATCCTGCTCCTGCATCGCACAAGGAGCTCGGAGGAGTGGGATGTGGGAGCCTGTGGATTCCCAAAATTCTGCTCTCCACATCCCATAAGCTCAGAGGAGCAGGATTTTGGACCCTCTGGAGCTCATTCCCAAAATTTCTCTCCCTGCATCCCACAAGGACCTCACAGGAGCGAGATATTGAAGCCTTTGGAGCCAATTCCCAAAACTTCCCTGGATCCCACAAGGAGCTCGGAGCAGGGGAATGCTGAACCCTTTGGAGATGATTCCCAAAATTCTGCTCCTTCATCCCACAAACTCACAGGAGAGGGATTTTGGACCCTTTGGAGCTGATTCCCAAAATTCTGCTCCCACATCCCACAAAGAGTTCAGAGGAGTGGGATATTGGACCCTTTGGAGCTGATTCCCAAAATTTCTTTCCCTGAATCCTACAAGGAGCTCAGAGGAAAAGGATGTGGGAGTCTTTGGGGCCAATTCCCAAAATTTTCCTCCCACATCCCACAAGGAACTTGGAGGAGCAGGATACTGGAACCTGTGGGGTCAATTCCCAAAATTCTGCTCCTGCATCCCACAAACTCACAGGAGTGGGATTTTGGACCCTTTGGAGCTGATTCCCAAAATTCTGCTCCTTCATCCCACAAACTCAGACTGGGATGTTGGAACCTGTGGATTCCCAAAATTCTGCTCCTGCATCCCAAAAGGAGCTCACAGGAGTGGGATTTTGGATCCTTTGGAGCTGATTCCCCAAATTCTGCTCCCAAATCCCACAGGGAGCTCACAGGAGCAGAATTTTGGATCCTTTGGAGCCCATTCCCATCCTGCCACCCATCCCAGCATTTTTCTTCCCTGACCTGGTTCTATCCAGAGCTGTTAAAATCATCTTTTTCTCCTCAAAGTGCTGCAGAATAACTTTGTGGAAAAATCCTACAAGGATTGTTTTATTTTTGGTGGTGCCTCAAAAAAGCAGATTTTTTGTTTACCTCACCCTGCTTGGGAATGATAAAGGAAGTGTTGATGTTAAAGTGAAAAATAAATTATTAACAGTCCTGAAAATCGATAAAATCCCTGCAATTCCACATCTGTTTCCATGGGAACAGCAGGAGAGGGGCAGGAATTCCTGCAGATGACACCAGGGAGGTTTTCATTCCCGAATTTAATTCCCTTTTCCTCACCTGTGGCACCTCAGGCTGAGCCAATTCCATCTCAAAGTCATTCCTGGGATGGGAAAGGGGGGAAGAGCTGAAGGAGGATGAAAAATGGGGGGAAAATGGGAAAAATCAGCTGTGGAAATGGAGAAAAAAGGGGTTTTGGTTGGGTTGTTTTATTGAAGAAATAATAATAATAATAGCAATAATAGTAATAATAGTAATAATAGTAATAGTAATAATAGTAATTGTAGTAGTAGCAATAATAATAATAATAATAATAATAATAATAATAATTATTATTATTATTATTACTATTGAAACAATAATAACATTTCAAGGAATAATTTAATTAATTTGATAACAATAATTTTTAAAACAATCTAAAATAATATATTATATATAATTGTAATAATAGTTTTTAAAAATGTTTTGGGCAAAGAGGGAAAATGGATTTTTTTTTTTGTACATAAAAAAGGAAAACGGATTTTCAAAAACAGGGATTTTCAGGGAAAACAGAGAAATGCAGGGGGTGGGAGATCCCTAATTTTTCCAGAGATTTTTCAAGCTGACAGTTAATTAAGGAGTTAATTAAGGAATTTTTCAGTGCAGGGAGTGCCTTAATTGGTGCAGACAGGAGCCCAGAACTCTGGGATTTCTCTGTCAGATTTTCACCCGTGGGGAGAAATCCACCAGCTGTGCCCGCCCGAGTGACAAATGCGGGGAGACATCGTTCCAGGCAGGCAGGAACTGGGAAAATACAGGGAAAAAAGGGATAAAACACCCAAAAAAACATTCAAAAACCATCACAAAAACAACCCCAAAACCATCTCAAAACTATCCCATAAAGCACCCCAAAATCATGCCAAAAACTATCCCAAAAACCACCCCAAAACTCATGCAAAACCATCCTAAAACCCTCTCAAAACCGTCCCAAACACCATCCCAAAACCATCCCAAAACCATCCCAAATCCACCCCAAAACCCATCCCAAAACCACCCCAAAAACCACCCCAAAAAACATCCCCAAAACCACCACAAACACCACACAAAAACCATCCCAAAACCATCACAAAAATAATCCCAAAACCACCCCAAAATCCACCTCAAAACCATCCCAAAACCACCCCAAAACCCATCCCAAAAACTCATCCAAAATCACCCCAAAACTCATCCAAAACCACTGCAAAACCATCCAAAAACCACCCCAAAAACCATCCCAAAACCACCCCAAACACCACACAAAAACCACCCCAAAACCATCCCAAAAACCACCCCAAAACCATCTCAAAACCCACCCAAAAACTCATCCAAAACCACCCCAAAAACGACCTCAAAACCATCCCAAACCCCATCCCAAAACCTATCCCGAAACCACCCCAAATCCATCCCAAAATCCATCCCAAAACCTCCCAAAAAGCACCACAAACACCACCCCAAAAACCACCTCAAAACCATCCCAAAATCTATCCCAAAAAACACCCCAAATCCACCCCAAAACCCACCCAAAACCCATCCCAAAACCTTCCAAAACCATCCCCAAAACCACCCCAAACACCACACAAAAACCACCCCAAAACTCATCCAAAATCATCCACAAACCATCCCAAACACCATCCCAAAACCACCCCAAAACTCATCCAGAACCACCTCAAAACCATCCCAAACCCCATCCAAAAACCACCCCAAAACCCACCCCAAAATTCACCTCAAAACCACCCCAAAAACCACCCTAAAACCCACCCCAAACACCACCAGAGCTCTTTCACCCATCTCTATTAAATCTTAGAAAATCCCATAAAATCTGATTTTTACATTGATTTTTCCCCCCTCCTGGCCCTTATCTCCACCCAGGCCGTCAATGATTAACCCTGAGGAGCAAAGTCCCTCTGCCCTCTCCTTCTCCTTTGGCTCATTCCCAAACAAACTCCGGGATAAATCCAGGGGACTTTCTGCCCCACTCTGGGATTTATGGCTGGGGATGCAGGGAATGACCCCCAAAAAATTAAATTAAATTAATTAAATTTTATTAATAAATAAATTAATATTTCATTAATTATTAATCAATAAATATTTATTAATTGCTGCCCAATAAATTAAATTTAAATTACAATATTGAATCTAAATAGATATTTAAAAATAGTGACAAGTATTTTTAATTTTTATAAAAATATATATTAATTATATTTTATTATTATCATATAGAATCATTTCATTTATTTATTTGGTTATGTTATGTTATAATTATGTTATATTGTATTATATTATGTTATATTGTAATAT